TTCATACTCATTTTTTATCCTAAATTCCTGGTGAGAAATGGAAGTTTTTGAACCAGTCATGCATAATTTTTTTTTTAAATAATAAATAATAATATAAAATAATATATTGCAATTATTGAGACTTGTTATTCTTTTGTATTATCCTGATCTATGCCTTTCTAAATCTAAACTTGAATAATATCTTGCAGATTAATTAAAGAGTTTGATCGTGAAATCAAAGATGAGGAAAGCAAAAATCCTCCTGAAGTGAATAAGCAACTCAATGATGAGAAGCAGTCTATGGTCTGTTCTTTTCTAACTTTGATGTCCTTAATCATTGATAAAAACATGATGTCCAGGGATGGATCAATTATTTTTTTAGTGAGGCAATTTGAAGTATTAAAAGGAAATTTTAATGAGGGTAAAATAAAATCTTACTTAAACATTAGGTAAATTCTAATTTTAAAGGATACAGTGGCTGTTTTTGCCCCCACTGCCTCCTTACAGATCCATTTCAGTATCATAGTAATGGTTTGAGGAATTTGGGGGATGTTGTTCTCAAGTTTCTAGGTCTAGGAATTTGGGATCTTCCTGCAATTTCAGTTAGGTGTATGTGTATTCTTTGAATGATTTATTTAGTTCTGGCCTCTTTCACTTGTTTGGAATGGCAGACATCACTCACTTATGTAAACAATGTTTGTGTAGCAGTTGAATAAGTTTAGATATTCCTTTCAGTTGATAAAATATGCCCCCACTTTGGGTCTACTGTCACACTTTCTCATTTTTGTGTATAATAATAAGCCTCCTAATAATTTTTTCCTTTGGCAGATCAAAGAACTTAATTCCTATGTAGCATTGAGAAAAACGTAAGTTCTGGACTTCAGTATTTATTTTAAGTTGATTCTTTCTGATTCCAAAAATTTGATGTGGTTGAACCAATTTATGATTGAAAATTTGCTTCTGTATTATAGGATGACTGGATGAACTATAATATAAAAATGTAGCAAATATTTGCTTTCTTGACATCAACAAAATTCTGACTAGTGGTATTGAGCCCATAAATTCTAATGGGCTTCTACCCCTGATTGGCGAACATTGATTGGCGTTTTCTGGATATAAGTTTTACGGTTTGTATAATTTCAGATTCATGAATACTCTTGGTAACAAGAAAGTTGAACTCTTTGATATGGGAGCAGGAGTCAGTGAGCCCACTGCAGACGAAAATGTCAAACTGGCTTCATGTAAGATCTTATTTAGTTTCAGAGGCACCATTGAGTTTTGTTTTGTATGGCATGCTGTTTACTCAGGAAACATTGTGTTATGTTCATTTGCGCTTGATTTTGCCATAATCTAATCAATCAGCCTCATACTTTTATTTATATGTCTTGCCCTATAGCAATGTCAAATCAGGAACTCATTGATCATGGGAGGAAGGCAATGGATGAGACTGATCAAGCCATTGAGCGATCTAAAATGGTAGATATCAATATGAACATGTTTAGAGTCTTGCTTTATTATTTAATTTCTTAGTCTAATTTCTGAGATGACAGGTTGTCCAACAAACAATTGAAGTAGGAACACAAACTGCTGTCACCTTGAAGGGCCAAGTAAGTTGATTTTTAAGTCTTCAATATTGTAATTTTATATGCATAGCCTTGCATGTACTGATTGAAAGGTATGCAGACTGAACAAATGGGACGTATTGTGAATGAGTTGGATACAATTCAGTTCTCAATTAAGAAGGCTTCCCAACTAGTGAAAGAGATTGGCAGACAGGTTATTTGATCTTCTGGGCTCTATATTTTTCACTTTACCCCTTCAAATTTTTTTATATGCATTATTTATTCAAATTCCTTTTTCATCCACAGGTAGCTACAGATAAATGTATCATGCTATTTCTATTTCTCATTGTATGTGGTGTGATTGCCATCATAGTTGTGAAGGTACTTATTTAACTTCATTCGTTTCTTTCTTTGAAGTATTTTATTGCCTTCAAGGTCAACTGTTTTATGAACCAGTTGGTGGGACTGTCATAAGACCAATCCGAGAAAAACTGAGATGTGAGGCTTTTGCAATAAAGAAAATATAAATTAAAACTTGAGCTGCATGATAAGTTCTGCATTTTATGTTTGGATGGAAGAGGTTCTATCCATTGAATGTCATATTGCTAATCCCATTGAAATGTTTCTAATAGGCCCGAGCCATTATGCATTTGTTATCATGTGAAAACATGCTCACTGCAATTTTTTTTTATCTCTCATGTGTAAAATTTTCAGATTGTCAACCCCAACAACAAGGATATCAAGGACATTCCAGGATTGGCACCTCCAGCACCCGCAAGGAGGCTGTTATATGTAAGGGATCCTCAATAATTGGAGTAGATGCATCATTCCAGACTAGATAGTAGCAATACCCATCTGGTTTCCCACAAGATAGATCTTGGGTTGATGAAAAGAGTAGAGGTTTGGGAGGATGCTGTTTGCAGGAACATATGGGTTTTCTACATTGTCCTTTTTGATTCATCAATTCTTGCTTGAGGTGTTCATATCCCGGTTCCTGACCTGTTTGTGTGTATCATATGCAGGCGGTTTTTTCGGATAATTTTCAATGAGATGCCATGGTTCTTTCCGTACCTCTAAACACTGTTGTAGAGATCGAAAGTAATAACATACTTGATTGTGAATGGAAATATGGAATCGACATATGAAATGCTTAATTTCAGAGTTTCCAAGAAGAACTACTTTTTGGAATATGTTGTTAAAACGCTTCTCGATCTCGCATGGTCACTGAACTGTATGTTGCTCCTCTCATCTGAAAACGATATGCCATCCTTGGATGACATTTGAAGACATTTGATTGCATGTTGAGGTTGCATTTTTTCTTCCAACTATGACTTCAAGTTCCCCAAATGTCATTTTTCTTTTGCTCAATTATAAGGTAAGTGCTGACTGCTGAGAAGTTATTGAAGTTATACTGACATAAATTTATAAAACACACATTACCGTTAAAAGAATGATTTCTATGTTCGAAAGATGGCTAATTTCACAGCCAAATGTGGTCAGATCAAAGAATGCCACTGGTCCATTGTAAGAACCATTTGTTAACATGCATGCATATGCCTACCTGGCTACCTCAAACTTGATTCGAATTTACTTTAAGGCTCACCCGCAGGAAAGGGAAAATAAAGGAAATAGCCCTCTTTTGCCCACTATTGTTCAGTCGAGTTGGCCTTGAACATAGAGTGAGCTCATGACCAAATTTTAGGTTTTGGGCCACACCAGTCATGAAAGTATGTCAGCAAGAGAATCATACATAGATACTACAAATGAAAGTATTCCAAATAATTGCTTTTTTCTTCGACTGTGAAATATATATCACCTGAAAAAGAATATTTTCCCTTGAGATAAACGGTTAGGATGAGTGTGAACTGGCTTCCTCTTGCATATATCTGGTTTCTGTCAACTCAACCCAACGGTAAGCCCTCCATCTTTGATCTAAAGTATACGTTAGAAACTTGATGTATCATGAAGTATGGTTGCTTGGCTGAGAACGACCAATATGAGATAGCCTTGACGTTGGAAGTAGTGGCGCTTCTTCATCGGCATTCAATTCAGAAGCAGCAAAATTTCCCTCACCCTTTCCTCCACTTTTATCACTGCTTTTGCTAGGAGTGAATAAGTCAGATGACTTCTTTTCCAACTTCCATTCCTGTATATTAAGAAAAGAAGGATATCCAACAGTTAAAAACAAGCTCTGTGATAACAGGAGCAGTGACGCAAGGAAAAAACCAGTCTTGACATCCCTTTCAGGAATGTAGTTATACATTCAAGAGTGGGAAACTGACCTTTGTCATTCTTTCTGGAAGACTATCAGAAGATAGCTGAGAAGCACGAACATCCCTGACCTTTATGTAGTTATACATCACAACACCACAGAGAGCTGCAGAAGGAACAATTTTTGATTCATTGTGTTAAAATAGGTTGTGAAATAAAATAAAGGTGAAAGTATTAGGTTGTGATAAGTGGACTAAATTTAAGCAGTGAAATACCAATAGCATAACCAATTATATTCAGCCCAGTTATTGTTGACTCTGGAAATATAACAGTTGAAAGGGCAATCAGTATCCAGTCTTTCAAAACACCAGCAACCCTAATGGTGACTGCTCCAGTTCTCCCAATTACCAAGAAGATGGAGAAGTTCAAAGCCAGAGCACAAAGAGCGTTGGAGAAGAAGATCCAGAAATTGAACTGTATTTGTGAAACTGCCATCACAGGCTTCTCCAGCAAACACCAAGGGACAAAAAGAAACACAAAACTGCACATAACAGATAAGAAAAGTGAGAAACTCATTCATTGGTTTGCCATTGCTTGACAGGAGCAATCACCTCAAAATCACATTCAGAAAAACACCAAAATAGGGAGAGGTTCGATTGCAATAACATGTTAAAACTTGCATATTTGATATTACAGAGACTCTAGCTCCTTTCTCTCATTTCTTTTCCTTTGAGGAAAACAAAAAAACAAAACAAGAGGCATCAAATCAGTGTACCTGCATGGTGCTATGTAATACAAGCTTGTAACGGGATTTAAAGTCAGGCCCTTCTTTTGCAGAAGGACTTGAGTTAAGACCAGCCTAAGAGCTTCGGCAAAGATGCCTGTAACCTGGTAAACTGTGCCAACTATATTGAAATGAATTTCCCCATATGAGGATATGACAACTCCAACACTGACCAGCACCATGTTTAAGAACACGTCACACCTTGGTTTGTCAGTGCCACACATCACAGCCATCATGAATGTTGCCACTGGCACTGGCAAATATAAATGAACAAACCACTAACATTAGGATTGCAGAGTGATATTGTTTAATGGAATGATTAAGGTAATCTCCTTCCACTTACTTAAAGCTTTAAGCATTTGGATGAAGGCCACAGAAATGTGCAAGTAAGCAGTGTTACCAAACCTATAAAAACAAAAGAGAAACAAATGACTCGTCAGTTTTATCCAAGAGTAGGCACTGGGCAGTTAACCATGAAAATTCGATAAGTCAGACCGATGAAGGGTCACAGTTACATTCTGATATCCAGTCTAAGCTAAAAACTGCCATACTCCTAAGTAATTTATAATCTAAATTATAAAGCGTAAGCATTAGCCAAGCTTCAGAAGAAAAATACATTTCCATCTCATTAGAGGGAAAAAAAAAAAGAAAAAGAAAAAAAGAAAATAGAAAAGTGAGTCCAAGAGAGAAATGTACTACATATCAAAACTCTCTTGACAGCAAGTAGGGAAATGAGGCAGTGTGTAAGAGAAACAGATCTTAAATTCAAGCACGAAAAAAGAAAAATCAGAAGATTAACAGAGGATAATATAGCCCGTTTATTTTATATATAGGATAGGAGGCAGACACTAGTTAAAGGATCCATCATATATGCTAAGCACTAACTAGCATCTTAACATTGAAACACCACATCACATATCAAACAAGGAGATCAGTCCTACCACAGTTAAGAACTTACCAAAGACTTGATGCAAAGAAAGCACTTATTGGAATTACACAAGTTGCATATCTGCCACATATATATAAAGAAAAGGGAAAAAAAATTTAGCAAAGATAAGGTGAAACAAAGCAGAAAAATTGTAGCACTTTTAAGAGACCATACTTACATCTCGAATGTCATTTTGACAGGAGATACAACCTGCATGTTTAGATCAAAAGATAAAAATGCAACATCATTTCAAGTGGGATAAAGGTAAAAGGAAGGTGCAATCTGCAATGTGCTGTAATATATAAAAAGGAGGTATAAAAAAGGAAAAGTAAAAACAGGAAACAAAGTTAAATTTCTATTTCTTCTGAACACATACCTTGAACACACGGACAAGCAAAAATGCTACAGCCCCAGAGAATCCCATGTGAATCATGGTAAGCGTTATTGGGAGGGGAAAATTGAAGTAGTTTGGAGACAGAACCCACTGCAATAAAAATTTTGGTACAGATAATAAGTTAATGGCACAGTTACTTCCGTGAATAGTTCACTCTAAATCACACTGAAAAGCCACTCATTGTTTACATTTTGTTTCATGATATACAAATATCAGCTCAGAATCCAGTAACCTAGACGTAATGCAGTATCTATTCTTAGTTTCTTACAATGCACAATAATGGTATTAACTTAACAGAACAAAGAATATGAGATATCATGAGTCCTTCACTAACTGTTTCCAAATAATAATGCTGATTCAAAAAAAGAACTCTACTCATATATCGAATCCAAAGCTGGATAAACAATATAAATAAAAAATTCAAGGAAGAATTAGTGCATTGCCTTGTTATACAATATAACTCCTGATGAAAGCAAAATGTAGATAAACAAGTACAGATAAGTCAACACGAGTGGTTTGCTGATCATCTTTGCCTTCCTTTTCCTTCCACGGAGCAAAAAAACTCACAAACAAACCACAGTTTTACAATATACTAAGTTACTGTCACTGACAGTTCAGAAACCACAAAGAGAAATCCATCTTCGCAACATCAACCAGAATATTTGATGCAATTTTCCAGAACCACAGTTCAGCTGTCGCTATCTATTACTCTTCTAAAAGAATCAGACTATCAGCACCTGAAAATAACAATGAAAGCACCAATACGTCAATCAACTGCACCTAATTAAACGCAAACGCTATGAAAATCACACATAATCATCGAAAACGAAACGGCAACCAAATTTCAGTCAAAAACAGCAACAAATCAGCAAAGAAAATCAATCCGATTTCCAGCACCGATAATGCGAGTAACTTCGAAGCTCAAGATTCATAAATCTTGCTAAAATCTAAGAAACGAAGTCAATGCCGCGGCTGATCCGATTGCGATCTACAAATTACGAAACAAACAGTAGAACACAGAGAACCTGGAAAAGATCCGAAAGAAGATTTTACCGCGAAATCAATCGTCAGTAAAGAACCTGCTTCACGGTCACCGAAGCTGGATCAGGAAGAAAGCTGAGCTGCCGGAGGCAGTATGTGCAGTGACCGGAACGGAGAAGCACAAAATGGTTTCGTGTGTTTGGGGATATCAAGGATTGGAAGCAGAAGAAAAGACAACAAGTGAAGGAAAATGGAGGAAAGGAACTGAAAAGAAAGAAAAGAAAGATTTGTATTTTTGGTTTGGGTTTGTCTGTATACGGTTCACATCAAGGGGATGGGCAGCAGCAGCAGCAGGCTCCCGTGTGAGCATGCGTATGGAAATTTTTAAGTGGAGCAATAATGCGCGCCGTTTGATTTTGATCTAACGGTTGGATTTCTTTCACTATGGTGTTCGTGAAGATATTTGTGGGTAGTCACTACCGTTGGATTCAATCGAACGTTTTGTGTTTTATATTTGATTTGATCCACGAAATGCAATCAGGAGGCTGGACCGCCATTTAGGCACGTGAATATCGTTCTAGACAATCCTTTTATTTTTATTTTTTTAGTAAATGACAATCTTTTTATTTTTATTTTTTAGCAAATGACAATCTTTTTATTTTTATTTTTTTGGTAAATGACAATCTTTTCGTTACTAATTCCATATTTTACAAACGAAACAAAAGAAGGTTTCTGTTTTGGAGTGCCTCTTTTATTTGGTAATAATTTAAGTTCAACATTTTATTATGAAAAAATTATAGAACACCATAGATTTAAAATTTTAAAATGAAAAAATCATGAACATAAATAAATAAATAAGAGCATGTGGAAGTAAACCTCTATGAACTTGAATGGCTAAACTTGGATTTTCATGGGAAAAATTGAGAGCCATAAAATTTTATCTTGAAACTAATGCTCTTGCATTCATTTTTTCCCCCTATTTATCCCTTTTTTTTTTAATTTTGATTGCACAATAAGAGATAATCTTCTTTCATCCCTTATTCCATTTCACACATATATGATATAATTCAAATTTAAAATCTCTTATTTTTAATAAAAAAATTATCACTAAACTATTTAAATCATTAATTTTATTTACCCATTTTGATCATAGCTTTTTTTAGCTAACTTTGATCTTAATTAGGAAAAAATATAAAATAAGGGCTTAATTATCCTAGAAAATAAGTTCAATCAGAGAAAACTAAATTTAGGGAGTAACTTAAGGTGATTTTTTGGGCCAACTTAGAGGGGGGGTTTTTCAATGGTCAACTTAGAGGGTTGTTTTAATGGGCTTTTATCAGTATGTTTGGACCATTAGATGAGGCCTGTCACTTATCATTTTCACTTAAAGGCCTGTTTACATAATAAACTCTGGAATTGTAAGCCCATAAGGGGTTATAAGGGAGATAGGGTTAGGCTCTCATCCTCTTTCTGGTCAATGCTGTATTTTAATGGTTGATGCGGTGGGATTAGGAACCCACTAAAGAGGATGTGGTGCGCGCCGTCGTAACTTTTTTATATTTCTTGACAACCTTTGTAGGGGACCAATGGGCAAATAGATTCTTTTCTTAACCTTTCTGATTTCTATCTTATTTCCTTCTAATCATTTCAGCAAAATTCCTTTGATGCAACCCCCTAACCACCACATAAACAACTATATATATATATATGTATATATGTATATATTGCAGCTTCAACCACTGGTGCAGTCGGTGACATAGACAAACACAAGTTCCACACAGAAATTTTGTCAAACAGTTGGTGTGCACAGGAGTTTGCCCAGTTTCCTTTGGACTAATTTCTAAACTTGAAGATTCCTACTCAATGAATATGACGAATTAAAAATGGGGTTGCATTCTTTTATAGTTGTTGGGGGTTTCCATTATAATTAGAATCAAATCTATGCTGGACGTGTGAAAAATGATTTTTCTGTTTCTTTTGGTTATGAGACAAGGAGTAGATTTCTGACCAGGTCTAATGTTTGAGGACCCTTTCAGTTGCAAAATATTTGGGGTCCCATTCTCTAATCTGCCCTACACAAATTCAGATTCCATGAAATCAGGCATGAAGGCCCCCTTTAGATTGTGGAGACAGATGATGAAATTTGGTAGTTGGTGAGGGAACTCTTCTCTATATTACTCAATCATGCATTTAATTGCAGTTTGTACTGTAAAACACTAATCAGTGGATACTAAAGTCAATACGTATTATCATAGAACCCTCATCATTTAATGGTTAATATTGATATAATTTAAGCCATTAAACACTTTTTTGATATTATTGGAAGATAGATCATAATTTCTACATTCACCAATGCATTTTCAAGACTCTGCCTTTCCGAAGTTGACATTTGTTTGGGAAGAAGAATATGTTTAACAGTTCAGGTATTCATTTTTTTATTCACACCGACACAAATCCTTGCAGCTATATATTCTTCTTATCTTAATCAATATTTACTCATGTTTCTATCCTTTGCTCCGCGAGCCACCTAGTACTTTTTCCATGCCGTGGCTTGTACGTTTGTGTTAAAACTTGTTTAGATCAGTTTCTCTGCTGCAAAAGTCGAAGTCAGGATGAAAATTTTCTTAAAAGCGTTTCTCAAAAGCCAAAGCAACAGACTCGATTGTAACTTTTCCTAAGTTGAACGAGTCTAAAGTTCTGTGTGAAACTCTTCATTAGTAGGAAGTCATTTTCATTGTTGAATTGGGTTGCTTCAACATAGAGAAAAAAAAATCTCGTTGTTGGTAAGCTAGATTAAAAAACTAAGTACACAGTTTTATTTGTCCAATGAAGTTAATTAACCCTAAAGAGTAACAAACAAGATTTGTTTTCTATTGACATGGAAAAGTGGCATCTGTTTTGGATGTTTTTTAAAGTTACACAACACATTATCATAAATAAATTGCTTGGTGACAACAATTACAAGGTCATTAGCCAATTTTGAATTGGTATCTTAGGCCTTTACAAGTGTAGTGCTATATATTAGCTATGCGCTCCAAATTTTGTTTCCCTCATCTTATACTAAAAAATGTAGGTAAAAGGCCAAGTTTTTTTCCCCCAAAACTCATTGGATTCTTTCATTACCATATTTTGGTTTTCTATCCTGCACACCTCAAGATCAGCTTGTTAACATTAAAGTTGTGTTGTTAAGACAGCTCAACACTGATTAGGATGACATTTCCTCCACAAATTTCCGCTTCAAAAGTTTGAAATTTTCAACTTTGAGTATGTTATAAGTTTAGATAATAATTGATACACATTTCACTTCAATTCACTGTATAACACATTTATTAAAAAATTATTATTTTTTAATTTAAAATTAAAGACAAATAAATTTAAAAGTGCATCAATACATATAAGATACAAAAATCAATTAAATCGATTATATTTATATTATATTTTAATGACTAAACTAAACATTTATAAAAAAAAATATTAAATTAGAGAGTATACTAATTATTTTCATAGATTACATTGTCTTTTCAATATGGACTAACAGTGCTTGAAAGCAAATATTTACTCTTAATGAATCAACGTAAAGTGCCGTATTTTATGTCTTTTCCATTTTGAATGGTCTATTTCGACTGAAAAATACCTTTTTTTTTTAATGTTATTACATAATGAAAGAGTAAAAAGAAAGGATCACATTGTATACATGCTAAACGAAAAATACTCAGATTGAAAGATTCAAGATCTAGGCCAGCAGGGAAAAAAAGGGGGTGGGGGTTTATGTAATCTTGAAGGCATGCCTGTGTTTCTTTCCTTCAACTATACGAAAAATGGGTTGACATCTGGGAAACTCATACTTTGGAATTTAAAACGAGGACCAAGGTGACACGTGAATTTCCTACTTTACATGGAAATGTTGGGTTGGAAGGATGTGAATTGCATAAACAATGCATTAATGGTGTATACAGGCACGCATGTTACATTCACAAAAAAATTCATTTATTAAAGTCTATATACTTAATTACAAGTTCATTGAACTTTCAAATTATAATTTTAAAATAAAAAATAAAAAAACTACAGAGAAGTTAGGATTCCTATTGTTTGGATGAAGTGGATAAAGTAGTAAAAGGTGGATATCTTCCACCACAATATTCTCTCATCTTTTATTTGTTATTAAAATTTTTGTTTTATATATATATATATTTGATTCTTTAAGGTATATAAAAAGAGATAATTTTTTCCTTGTTCTAAATAAAAATATTATAATTACAATACTGAATGATATTATAAATTTATAATATGATATATTGTTATATAATTTATTCTTTTCATTTAAGAGTTCACTTGTGATGTTATATATATCAACAACATAATCCATGTTGCTATTATTCATTGACCAGTAGCTAACCTTCCTAAACACTAATAAGCAACATGGTAAGTATGTTGGTGAAAGCTCCATCACCCACTATATATATACATCTTTCTTATGCAAA